TCCCCTCAGCAGTGTACTTCGTAGATCTGCCTGTTCTGCTTCCCACTCTGTCTCTGGTGAAGCTTCTTGCCGCCCCTGAGCCTCTGGCCTATACCCCAGTTCTGTATGTACATATAAATAAATCTTTAAAAAAAAAAAAGAAAATTAAATTTCAGCACTTTTATTTCGGTTCTTTCATAAGTCAGCTGAGACTAAACTTGAGTATTTCTCTGGTGGGAAATGATCCCAAGAAACCCTGATAGGGAAGTGGAAATACAAGACAGGGAAGGGAAAGAAGCAAATGCCTGAGGGGTAAGAGCAGGTGACAACTGTGGATAACTGGGCCTAACCCCACTGGACTTGGGGTGACTGCCTCAGAGTAGTCCCACATGAAGAGGGAAGAAGTTGGGCTTTTGGCCATCAACTTCCACTCATGACTGAGGTCTTTCCTGGGGCATTATCTCCCTAGCATTTAATCCTTGTGTTGTGCTTGGCCTAACCCCACTCTGGTAGCCAGAGACCTCCTCAGGCAGAGGGAATTTAGCTTCTTGCTGAGGGAAGTTACTGATGTCAACAAGAACCCTGAATACCTGAATTATGCTAAATGAAAAAAAAATATGCTAAATGAAAAAAATCTCAAAGACTGCATACTGCACAATTCCATTTATATGACTTTCTAGAAAATTCAAAACATAAAGGACAGAAAACAAATGACTGGTTGTGAGGGCCAGGGGAAGGAGAGAAGAGTGCTTCCATCAGGCATATGGGATCGCTTCAGGATAATGAGAATGTTCTTCATCTTGGTTGTGGTGGTAGTTATAAGACCATGCATTTGTCAAGATTCATAGACCTACACAGCTGAAACAGTGAGCTGTATGTAAACGATACTTGAAAACCCTGACTGTGATGGTTTGTAAAATAGGACTGCATGTTAGGTGCTATCTCAAGAAAGTTTAATTTCCCTCCTTCTTCACTGGGAGACTTAGTGATTTGCTTCTAATAATAGAATAAAGAAGCTCAATGTTCTGTGAGTTAGTGACTAGGTCATAAAAGATGTGGCTTCCTGTTTGCTATTAGCCTCTCTTGCATCTGTCTCTCTGAGGGAAGCCAGATCCCATACCATGAGCAGCCCTAGGCAAAGGCCTATATTGGAGTAGCTGAGGCCTCTGGCCATCAGCCCTATGAATGAGTCATCTCAGAAACTGACCCTCCAGCCCCAGTCCAGCCTTCAAATGACTGCAACCCAAATGACAGTTCATACATAGCCTCACTGTGACCCTGAGGCAAAATCTCACTTAAACAACTGTCGTTTCCTAGCCCTCAGAAGCTATCAGAGATAAAATTATTGTTTGTTTTAGATGACTAGATTTTGGATTTATTTATTCAGCATCAACAGGTATCTAATACTTTGAATTAATATTTTCATCCCCATTTTTTATATAATTATGTCCCTTCTTTTATATATAAATGTCTGCTGAGATATTTGGTATGATTTTCATATAAGGTAGATGAGAGTTGTCTCAGGGTGGTGGACTTGGGGTTATTTTCTTATGTTTGTCCTTTTTCATATTCTTAAACTACTTTTATAATAAGCATACAGCATTAAAGTTAAAAAAAAAAATAGCAACTCCGAGCCTGAATCTTGGTACAGCACGAGTCCATTTATATGGGCAGCAGAGGAGGAGGTATATTTACAGGAAGCAGGCACACCACTCCTTCAGACAGTTAGAGCTCTCCTTTGCCTCACACTCAGTGGCGCCACAACAACAAATGAGCCACTTCTGGAACTCAGCTTCATTCTTGTGCATCAGAAGGAACTGTCCCAATAAGATGTAGGCCTGAGGGGAGGGGACCGGCAGGAAGGAAAAGGGGAAAGGACTTGGTCACATGAGAAATACTTTGGATGTGTTCTTTAGGCATCTGAGCTAGTATTATTTCTCTCTTTAAAGACACACACACACAAGTTCTCCACACCACTACTCAGCTGCTCTCATCCAGGGTCCTCTACACCAGGCATTGATATTTTGGCTATTTATATTTTGGGAGGAGTGAACTGTTCTGTGCATTGTAAAACTCTTCCAGCATCCCTGGCCCACACCCTGTATGTACCAGTAGCACGTTCTCCCAGGAACAGAAACCATCACAACCATCTCCAGACATTGCCAGATGTCCCCTCAGGGACAAAATCTCCCTCAGCTGATGAAGGACCTATTAGCATCCATTTGTTTTTGCCACCCAGTGGCCTGAGATCATACAGGCAACTCAACTTGAACTGAGAACCTTTAGAACCTGGACCTCACTTTCTACATTTTCTGCAGGTCGAGGACATGTCCTGCCCCATCTGCAAGCTGACCATTCATTGGAAAAACATGAATTTCTTTTCTTTCTTTTTTTTTTGTATAGAGCATAGAAGGTATAAACACGCTAAACTTCGCCCATCTTTCCCTCCCGAAGAGTCTCTGTGGATGAAAAACACACATGAAGCTCAAATATACCATGAATCATACTTCTCTGACATTCCTGGTTTCTACTTGTCCTACAACTTTTATTTTTTACCATTTTCTTGCACCATAATGAATGAGGAGCAAAAGATCGTGGAGAAACCTGCTTTCAAGAGCGGTGGCGGTAGCGTGGCTGTCACTAATCGGGAAAGCCTGGAGATTAACGGCGCCATAAGTGCCCAACTCTTGGGGCTGTTTTGGGGGTTTTCCAACCTGGAATGAACGAGAACCATGTCCATGCCTCAGCTCTGGGCCCTCTCCAGAATGCATGCTGGCATCTGTTTACTTTCAGTCAAATAGAACAAAGCAAACTTCATCTTAACCCAAGGGAATGTGTTTTTATTTTTTTAAGAAAAATTAAATAAAAGCTGAGTCCCAGTTGTAAAATATCCTCAAATGTTGGCGTTTGGGGTTTTTAATTTTTAGTCATGGTCCAGTTGTTGAAAAGAGAAAAGTCAGGATTTCATGGTCATTTTAAACCGCTACTTTAATCATCTTTAAAAAAAAAAAAAAAAAAGCAGGGTAGTCACTTAGAATGAGCTCATTTTACTTTATCGGTATCCTCACATTTTCAGTGGTGGATTTTTCTGAGATGCTTTTGAATTCAACATTGGAAATAATGAATGGTTACTGGCAGCTGATTGAGCCAGTTGCTGCCTGTGTGGGAAGTGCAGAGGTGAATATAACAGGATCGGGAAACACAGAATTTTGTCCAAGGAGAGGGAACATTAGTGAGAAGAATAGTAATAACAATGAAGGTACTTCTCAGCACTTTTGATGGGCTCCAAAGCCCTGACAATTTTTTTTAAGATTTATTTATTCATACAGAGCTGGGGTACAGTCCAGAGGTGCAGGGGCAGTGAGAGGATTCACCAGAGCCAGAGTGGGGAGCAGAACAGACCGACTGACAAGGCACACTGCTGAGGGGAGCAGCAGGCAGGCCTGGAGAGGTCTGCTGTGCCATGTGGGTCACCTCTGGGGCGGGTGGGGATCAAACTCATACATAAGTGGCTTTATCCTCTCAATGCTGTGCTTCAACCTGCTGCACCACCAGGGAGGGCCCCACCCTGACAATGTTTTAATCCATCTGATGCTTATATGTACCTCTCCTGTTCTCCAGATGGAGTCACTCAAAATCTGAAAGTTAAGACTTCTGCTTTCCTCAGCCCCATTCTTGTACATCTCAGCTGTCCACAGGTGGCCTGGCTCCCATGGGGTCCCCTGACATTTCAGAGGCTTCAATGCTGGCTTCAGCTGGTCAGCTAATTGGAGTCTCCACATTTCCCCCAGGCTCAGCAGCCAAGAAGCCAGGGAATGCCTGGTACGTAGGACCAGAGACAAACTTTCCAGGAATGCCATAGGAAGCAGGCCTGGCCTCCTGGCTGGGCTCAAGAGCCAAATTGCAAACTGACACTCCCTTCTCCTTCTCCGCTTTCTCTCTGGTCTCACCCTGACACCTCTCAGCTGGTGGAAAGGGACTGATTGCCTGCTTTGCTCTGTTCCCAAGGGAAGCTGGTGTCATGAGCTCCTGATGTGGCCTGCTCAAAGCTTAGTCCATTTTTCTGCCGACTCCAGAAAGAGAGTCCTTTGAAGATGAAGAGAAACTGCCTCTCTCCCCTCTTGGGCCAAAGCTCACAAAAATCTGGCTGTCAGGAGGGTGACACAGGAGCTCAGAGCAGATGTCCCCATCTTCCCACCAACTCAGACAGTAGCCATTGTGAAGCCAGGAAGCTCGATCCCTCCACAGCATTCATGGCAGGAGGGTAGCTCAACAGCAGACTCCCCCTAACTCCAAGTCCAAACAGTGAGGTTTACCCCAGAGACTTGCCCCAAGCAGATCTGGAACACCTACCAGTTTGCTCTATCTAACTTCCGTCTGAACGGAGCAATTCGTGTCTGTTCCAGGACTCAGTGACTTCTGTGCAATGGGCAGTCAATGAACCTGCACTTGGAGGGTCCAGCTTGGTTCCATATTCTGTTGCCCCCAGCTTAAAGTGCTAATAACTTTAAAAAGGGGCCTCAGGGCCCTCCCTGGTGGCACAGTGGGCTAAAGCACAGCACTGTAAAGCTGTCTGAAGCCACTGCAGCACGAGTTCCATCCTAGCCAACGAGGTGACCCACATGGCGCGGGAGGCCTCTCCTGTCCCTCCCGCTGCTCCCCTCAGCAGTGTATTTCAGCATATCTGCCTGTTCTGTACCCCACTGTGTCTCTGGTGAATCCTCTCACCCTCCGCAACTCTGGCCTGTACCGCCACTCTTGACTGCATAAATAAATAAATCTTTAAAAAAAGAAAAGGGTGCTCATAGCTCTCTTTTTTACTTGGCTTCGCAAGTTAGGTAGCTGGTTCTAGTTCAAGCTGATTTAAAGTTTTTGTCTTCACGATGACTTCTGACCTTGTCAAACACAGATGCAAAGTCAGCCCTCTTGTCATGTTTGAGACAATGTTCCCATTGCCCAGCTCCCAACTCTCACAAGACTTCATTGTGTGACAAACAACTTTCTCTTTTTCTCTGAGATGTTGGCACTTAAGCCTCGATGTCACTGATAGTCCATGACAACTTGGCAAATCTGCTACTTCTCAGTAATTTGTGGGTTAAAACTCTAAGGAGAGTTTTGATTCAGTGCAGGGCTTGTTACATTTCTTTCTTCTTCCTGTTTCTCTGGGGCATATGTCATTAAAAAAATAATTTGCAGACCCTCCCTTGTGACACAGCACTGCAAGCCAGCTACAGCTGCTTCAGTGCAAGTTCAATCCCTGGCCCCGGAGGTGACCCGCAAGGCACGGCAGACCTCTCCTGGCCTACCCACTGCTCCCCTCAGCAGTGTACTTTGTTGATCTGCCTATTCTGCTCCCCACCCTGTCTCTGGTGGATCCTTTCACCACCCCTGCCCTTCTGGCTTGTAACCCAATTCTGTAAGCATAAATAATTAAATCTTTAAAAAAGTAATTTGCTTATTTGAAATTCACATTCAGTTGGGCATCATGTACATCTGGCACCCTACACAGGGTGACTCCAAATTTAGTAGATGACTCCTTGAAGGGTGCAGATGCTGGGCTGTGAACTCCACTGCCCCAGAGCCTACATTCAAGCTTCATCTCTTTCACCTTGAGTGAACTTAAGCAAGTCTCAAGGCTGTTTTGTGTCTCAACTTCCTCATGGGTAAGATGGAAATGAAATTGCATATGTTATAGGATTTTTTGTTGTTGATGATGAAATGTAGTAAATTTAAAACAATGTCTGAGATGTAACAATGTCACAGATTATGCTGTGGTTCTATCACTCAGGAGAGACTTGGGGGACAGGTGGGCACCCAGAACTTCACTCTAATTTTCTTGTCTTTTTTAAAAAATTTATTTGAGGTACCAATCAGAGGTGCAGGGTGAAGAGAGGCATTTCCAGAGACAGAGTGGGGAGCAGAACAGGCAAATCGAAGTACACTGCTGAGGGGAGCAGCAGGCAGATCAGGAGAGGTCTGCTGTGCCTTGTGGATCTCCTCCAGTGCTGGCGATTGAACCTTCACTGAAGTGGCTGCTGCTAGCTTCACTGTGCTGCCCTTTAGCCCATTGTGCCACCAGGGAGGGCCCTCCATTCTGATTTTCTAAGTGCCACTCAGGAGGTAGATTTCATCTCAAGAATGTAACTCTATCATAGTGTCTTCAGAGACCTTGATTCTCCAGGATGTTAAACTTCTAAACTGTTGAAATAGCTAATCTCTATAGTAACACCCACACTGCCCTAGGACTGAACATACTGAGTGCTTGGAAATTCAGGCCTGGGTTTTCTTAAGAAGATAGGCAGAGAATAGAACATGTTTCTGCCTTAGGGCGGATTACAGAGAGTAACAAGTTGTGTCCCTAACATATTGAGTGTAGGTTTGCAGATCACATGTGGAAGACTAGTCAACAGTATGGGGTCCCATGGAACACTCGGAGCTCAGTGTGGCCTAGAAACATGCCTTCCCCTGCTAGGCTAAGTCTCTCCTAGGCTGGGTATAAAATTACAAGATGCCAGAGGATTTTAGGGTAATGAAATGCCTCTGTGATACTCTCCTGGTGGATCATTTCACATTTGTCTAAACCTGCAGAATGTATACCACTAAGAAGGAGCCCTAATGTAAATTGTGAATTCTGGTTGATAATGATGTGTCACAGTGTAGTTTTTTCCATTGTAACCAGTGTAGGGGCGGGCTAGTAGAGGAAGTTGATAATGGGGGAGGATGTATTGATACATGTGTCAGGGCAAGGGGACATGTGGAAAATTGCTTCTTCTGCCTAATCTTGCTGTGACCTAAGCTTGCTCTAAAAAACAAGTCATTAAAATGTGTGTGTGTGTGTGTGTGTGTGTGTATGGTTGAGCCTGCACATGTATTTGCTACATCTGAGACCTTCTTCTCCTTGAGCATCTGCCTGCCCCAGAGGCTCATAATTATACCCAACAACTAGTCTTTATCTAGAAGCCTTTGCTCATCTTAGAGATGCTGTGTGTTTCCTCTTCCCTCCTCTTACAGGTTGAACCAGGTTCCAAGCCCTGATAACAGGATTTTACTAACAGTTTTCAGTATAAGTTGCAGATCTTCTTGACTGTTCTAGTTTACTCAGGAACTCTACCAAGGTACTAACTCCTCAGACCCTGTCTTCTTTGTCCAGGAGAGACAGTGACTCTCACCTTGTTTGTTGCTTTCAGAGGCTCAAAGCAAAGAAGGAAGGTGAGATCTTCTTTGTCAGTGCCTGGTGTCATGGCCCTAGAAATGAGAGGACCTAGAAGTGGCATGTGGGTCGGGGTGCTGGCAAGGAGATCATGAGCACAAGAAAAACAAGACCCTAAGAGCTCAGATGCATGTACACAAATAGTCTCTTCTTCCTTAACAAGTTCTCAGATGCCTGAAATTCTCCCATTATTCATTCATCCTCTGTCTTAAACATACTCACCATATCTATAATCCTCATTTAAAACACAGTTAAGATGGAAAGGCTATAGGCACAGAAAACAAATCAGGGGTTGCCAAGGGCTAAGTGTGGGGAGTAGGAAGGGTATGAGGAATATTTTGGAGTGATATGATTGTTCTGTCTTGATTGTGGGACTACATGTATTTGAAGTGTTTAGTACTTGCTGTACTAAAAACAGGTGAAATGCCCTTTAAAAATATCTTTGAAATGATGATGTAGTTGAATAATGAAACTTCACAATTATGGAACACTAAATCAATGGAACAATAAATAAAGGCCAGAATAATAGTTACCCCTGCAAGTGTAGGATGGTATGACTGGGAAGAGTTACAAAGGAACCATCTGGAATTCCAGAGGTGTGCAATCATTGGATCTGGGTGGTGGATTCATGGGTGTATATAAATGTAAAAATTCACTATGGTGAACTCTTCATATCAACGTAAGTTACACCCCAATAAAAAATGTAAAAGGGATAATCGTGACTTTCCAAAAAAGATATTGTAATTAAAAATGTCTACCTCAATAAGACTTGCCTACATCCCTCCTGATTAGGAGTGATCCTGTCTCCTTTATCTGGTAGGAAAAACTCAAATCCATCTCAGTCATGGAGCTCCAGCTTCCTGACTAAGACCTCCTATTGGACATTAAACTGGTTGTTAGGTTGGAGTGATATTCAGAGTATTTAACTGGAGCAATGCAGTGAATCAATCTATGCAGTGAATCAATCTATGCAGTGAATCAATCAGAAAACCACAGGGCCAATAGCTCAGATGCCCCATGAAACAACCGTGTGCTGTGCGAGTGGAAACCCAGCATGATCAGATGAGAGCAATAGCCCCAGCCTCCTGGGGTGTTTCTGTAACATCTTCCTGATGGCGATGTAGACGGATTTTTAACAATGGATGAGGAAGGACAGCAGTATCTCTGTTGGTGGTGGTGGCCCTCTCCAGGATTGTGTAATGTTGTGTGGATTCCTACCTACCTCTGTTATGTGCTCTCTTTCTTTGGAGATGTCCCCCAGTCTCTGCTAAGGTTCCAAGCAGCTTTATAATAGCACCATAAATAAAAATAATTACATAGTAAAAGATCTTCTGATTCCACTAGAAATTCTTGACTCTGATCTTGGTTCTGTGAGTGATACTACAGAATACTCATATCTTCGTACATTGGTGTAGACCCCAGGCTGCTGTTAATCCACCTGCTATTGACAGGCTGATAGGGTAAGAGTAACCCCAAAAGTCTTTTCATGGGGGGGGGTCGGGTATGCCCTCAAATCACCCATCCTGCCAGCATAGTACAATGCAGGCACTAACTTCTGTTGACCCTTGGGTGTTTGAACACCAAGTGAATCATAACCAGTCCAGCAGCCCAGTTGCTCTGAGTGGAAGTAATTCTACTTGCCCATCATGTATGAGCCCATGAGGCAGACCAAACACGTGGGGTGAGTAGCACTGGAGTCTGTGAATACCCCGCCAAGTGGCAGATTTGCTCCCTGATGGCCCCTTCCAGAGAGATATGTGGCAGTAGCTACCACCTAGCAGGACTGGGAGATGTAGGTTGTGGGGAAAAAATCGGGAAATAAGAAAAAAGGAATTACCTTGTTGAAACCTTTGGTGACCAAATTGATTGCAAGTTCATGGCTGACCCCATCTACCCAGGCAACATCCTTTTCCCCGATGGGTTCAGAGAGGAAGGCTCTCAGCCTGGGAGACATGTGATCCATCTTCTGCAACATCAGTGGGGAGGAAAAGGATTAGGAGATATCTGAACATACAAAAGGCGAGTGGACATCAGGGCGCTCCCTCAGCTTGCAGTGGAACCAGGATAACAGATGGCCAACTTCCTTCCATTAGCCAACATTTATTGGGGGCTTTTAGGAGCCAGATGCAGTGTCCTGCACTAAAGACCTTTACACATCCATTCCCACCTTGATGGACTAAAAGATATATGGTGACGGCATCAGGTAATCCTAAGAAATCTCACCCAGAGAATGTTTAATGCTAAGAAATACAGTGGCTCCTTTCATTCTTGCCACAATAAATGCTCAAATGTCTTGCTTCTCTTTGTTAATTAACCTCTCTTACACACCAACACTTTTTTCATTTTTTTTAATTTAGCACTTACCACTCTTCACAACAAATGGTTTGGTTGTAACAAAACTCTTAAACTGGCTCAAATCTTAAAGAAGACATTCTATCATTTACTTTTATAACCCAAAATCTCAAGGGTCACATATTGATTTTTCTGATTCTTTCAGCTTTTCCTCTTTGTGTCAGTTGGTTCCCCTCAGGCTAGTGAAAGTGTTCCAACACATATTCACAAAAATTCCCACCCTAAGAGGAAGATAAAATAGAGTGAAACAGTCTCTAAAGAGTTCCCAGCAGGGTCTCACAGAGTTTCAAGGTCTCACAGGGTTACCATTGTGAGCTTAAAGGTGGTTGATGCCCCAGTCCTAGAGCTGGAAATATAATTAGCTTTATCAAAGCTATACAAGCTGTGAATATAAGCATAGTTACCTGGACAAAATCACTATTATTATCCAGAGGAGCAGAGATGGGTAGTCAAGCAGTAAATACCACAATGATCCTCCCTTTTCGTTCACTGACATCCATACATTCTTCTTCCTTCACACACTCATCAGAAATCACCACACATGGCCAAAATAGTCTCAAACCCTCCCCCAAAAGATGTCTGAGGTTCAATGAGTAATTAGATTTAGACTGAAGTTTATTATGTTGTGAGAGATGTCTCATACTCTCTATCACGTCTGGAAGTATCTACCCATGGTCTGATGATTTGTGAACTAAATTCTCAGCTTTGCTACCAACAATAGCCAGAGCTACCAGGGAGAAAACAAGAATGTCTACAGTAAGAATTTCCAGAAAGGGAATTTTCCATTTGGAGAAGGGGAGCATGGGAAATACTTTCAGCTGTCATTGGTTAATAGAACATATGCTGTGGACAAAACATGGAGGATTCCTGCCCTACAAAGCAAATCTCCAGTAATATGGCAGCCTCTAGCTCCGGGTTTGGATCATTAAGATTAGAGTGGGCATACCGTTGATGCCTCCCAAGAAGAAGCTCTCTCTGTGTTAGCATTCTGCTTCGTGTATATACAAGTTCAGGGATGGTCCTGACAGATGGGAATCTCAGGCCAGAGTAGGCTACTTTCTTTGGAAACTCAGCTCCCATGAGAATTCAATGAGTTTCTTCTATTTAAGTTCATGGGCAGGTAGTTGAAGCTACAGATTCTCTCTAGGTCATATCCTTGAGCTGATAATAATTGACTTCTCTGCTTTGCTTCTCTGTCAGCAGCATCTTCCCTCAGATTTGCACCTTACCTCTAGTTGTACCCAGCTGCATCTCCAGTGAGAAGCCAGCTGTCCCCACTAGCAAGTTTGGCATTTGTTTCAAGACAAGATACTTAGCAGAGACCTGGGAACTGGGGCATTGATTTTCTGGGGTCCCATTCTTTTCTCTTGCCAGGCAACTTAACTTGTTGCCTACCTTCTAACTTTACCCAGATAAATGAACTTTTCCAACTCAGAAGGACTTATTTATCAATGCCCAGAAACTTTAGATTATAGGTGACAGGCAGAGAGGAACTCTTTTAGCAAAGCTATATTTCCATTTCCCCGAACTTTCAAGTGGGACACCTTCCCCCCAGAAGTGAAACTTTCAGAACCATGGTGAAACTTTCAGAACCATGGTGAACCATGTGGCCAACACATCTTCAAATGCCATCTCTCCCTAAGTATAAGGCCTGTCTTTCAGGGAAATACTGACCCAGCAAAAGCAACCATTTTGCTTAACAAAGGTCATCATCATCCTGGTTTGAGTAAAGACATGGACAAAGAAGTTCACGCTGCCCTCTGTATGAACTTCTCTTCACAGTGAATCCACAAATCAGGTTTGCTCATTGTAGAATCCCCTTTCTCTACCAAACTCTGTGGCAGTTTGGGCAGTTTATGATACAAGTTTATGATGCAGTTGTGAGAATCCAGTTTAAGTGGGCTTACACAGCAAAGAGGCTTTATTAACATATGCTACCAAAAAGTCTAGAGGTAGATCACATATGATTTGTCCCAGACTTCAACTAGATTTCCCTGCTCTCTTGACTCAGACTTTCTATAAGTATCTTATCAATCTTCAGCTTGACTTCTTTGTGGAAATAAACTGAATGTGAAAGGGCCTGGCATGGCTTCTGCAAGTGACACCTTCCACCCCCACAAAGAAAAGCAGTTGCATTTCTCTAGAAACTGCCAACCCATGCCTTTTCCAGTCCAGTCATCATATGTCAGACTATAAAAATCAGACCTAAAACTAAGGCTGATATGCACACCCAACCTCTGTTTCAGAAAGGGAGTCATGATCAGCTGAGAACAAGCTGCAGGAGAGAAAAAGGAGCACAAAAGTTGTGTGGTGTTGCTGGGAGTAAGTGCCCCATACTCCTACATAGACCCATGTTAGCAAAGCAGCATCCATTACATGTTTCTCAGTAGACCGTAAGATCCTGGAGACCAAAGCTACCTCCTAGTGACCTTTGATATCCACCCCAGCTCCTGCCCCAGTGCCCAGTCCTGTGCCTGAAACATGCCCAAAAGGACTGCTGCAGCCATTGGTTTCAGAGCCTCCCTTCCTTAGCACCAGCTTCTTCATCTGCTCCCACTTCTTCTTCGGGCCTTCCTGTATTGTTCAGCTCTCCCTGGAAGACTTCTTATCCCCAGGGGATGTTTTGTGACATTTCAAATGAAACTAAGCTTGCCAAATTGAATCTAAAGGCTCTGATTTTAGGAGATGGGGGGTCCCCAAGGGAAGTGGTCTTACTGTTTTGGCTGATTCTGGGAAGATAAACACAAAGCAAGAGAGGTTGTCTGGGTTCCAAGCCTTGCACGTCTCAAATACTTTGGAAATGTGAGCTGCTAATACATTATGTGGAGAGCATCGTCTCTGTCATCAAAAGCTAAATAGGAAAATCTTTCTTAATCTATGAAATTATCTTAATGGGTGAGCTTCAAGGCATCCGTCACCTCGGGGGACAATGACTGGGAATCACGAACTGTTCAGGTCAGGTCGCCAGCAGGAGGAGAGGATTTCTGAGCAGAAGGAAGAGCCCGAAAGTGCTGGCAGCCCAACTTTGCTGAGGGAAAATTCCATTCACTATCCATATTGGCCATCTGTTAAGTTAAACATCTCTACCTATTACAAGCATAAATGGAAACTACAACATTGTTATCACTGCACCAACAACATCAAAGACAGGCAATGATTAGTAACACCTTGTGTGTGTTTGTTTTTCTCACACACCTGTTGTCACACTGATCCTTGAAAACTCTGGAGCATAGGAGTGATTTTTACCCCTCCAAGGGCCCACAGCAAGGTCTTCATGTTCATTAGGATGCCATGACCTACAATAGTGGTTCTCCATTGGGGGTGAACTGTCTGTCTCCCCAACATTTTTAATGTATCAGGAGACATTTTTTTGATTGTCACAACTGGGAGAGGGGAGGATGCTATTGGTAACTTATGGGTAGAGTTCAGAGCACTGCTTAACATCCCACAATGTACATGACATCACTACAGACACACACACACACACACACACACACACACACACACCACTAAGGAAGTGTCCAATCCCAAATAACCATAGGATAAATGAAAAGAAACCCTGAGCTACAAGTCAGAGAAAACCATGACTTAAATGGTCTTAAACAATGATACACTTTGACACTCATATAACCAAAGACCCAGTGATGTGGTGAACCCAGAATTTTGTCAGTCAGTGGCTCTGTGTTAACAAGAATCATACTAGTTGCTACCAAGGTCCTAAAATCCCTGCAGAATTTGCTGTGTCCCATCCCAACATGAAAACTTTCAAAAGGAAGGGCCATTTCTACTTGGGTGTCCTGGAAACTATTCAGAATGTCCCTTGGTTTCATCGGTCAAAAGCAGGCCACAAACCCAATTGTAAGCCAGTCACTGATCAGGGAAGTAGGACCACTTGGGGCATGTGGCCACAGGAGAATGTCCTGTTCTGTAAGAAAGAGAGAGAAGGTGGAAGGCAAATGACTATCAGCTGTGTAAACTCTGTGAGCAAGTGGTAACTAGTGAGTGGTTCGTGGAGTTTAATGTGTGCACAGAACACCTGTGTGTGTTGGGGGTGGGGGTTGTTGAAAATGTTGCTTCTGGTGCAGCAGGTCTGGGGTGGGACCTGAATGTCGCCTTTCTAACTAACTCCTAGAAGATATCAATGCTATTGATCGACAAATCATACTGGGTTGTAGGACTTTACATGACGCCACATACTCTTTTTATGGTATTTTATATTTAGTATATATGTTGCCAAAGCGAGCACAGTATTTTATATTTAATTGTGGCAAGATACACATAACATGAACTTTACGGCTTTTAGTGCACAGCTCAGTAGACTTCCATCTATTTGCACTGTTATGCAATCCACCTCTAGAATTGTTTTCATCTTGCAAAACTGAAGCTCCTTACCTATTCAACAATAGTCCCATCTGCCTCCAGCTCCTGGAAACTACCGTTCTACTTTGTTTCTGTGAATTTGGCTATTCTAATATCATATAAATGGAATCACCAAGGCTGTGTCCTTTTGTGACTGGCTTACTTTCCTTGGGATAATGTTCCCAAGCTTCCATCATGTTGTATCATATGTTAGAATTTTCTTCCCTTTTTATGTTATGTGCGTATATCCCATTTGTTCATCCA